GGGACTTCCGCAGTTATTATCGGCTTTTTATGTACTTTTAGAAAATGTAAAAACTTCAGTACCGAAAATTTTGCCTGGACGCTGCCTTTAAGGGGAGTGGTGAGTGGGTTCAGGGCACTCAACGGGACGCCGTACGTGTTCAAAATGGTTAAAATACCGAGAATCAGAGAAGAAGAGCAAGAAGAGCTGACAAAAAGCCTTCAGATATATACGCTTGAAGAGCCCTGTATTTCACATAAATGTCCGAAACGCAGTAAACCTTCAAAGCGGCGTTTATTAAAAAATCTAATCTGCTCATAGAGACAACGATGAGGTCTATACGATTCTGTGTGACCGTGGAAAGTTTTCACACCAGCAATAAACGCACCTCGGCATAGCCTCATTGGTCACGTTCTCGCCTCTGCGCAAAGCTAAGTTTCTGGAGTTTACCTGTTTACTCCTGTCAGAAATACGGTTAATGCTTCAGCCGACTAAATGACATAAAACAAGCTTGGGTGCTTGACAGTTCTGAACCACTGCTCACTAATAAGTTTTTCACCGGAATTTATTTATTTATTCGGCGGTGAGCTAAAACAATGCTTTTACAACAACGTGTTCGAGAGAAAAGTATGGATATTCTGGCATTTTTTATGCCATCTGATATAATGGCGCGGAAAAATGATATTTGCTCATTTTGAGGCACTTTAAAGCTATTTTGGTAGCGTCTCAAAGACGGCACTCCGCTTTGAAAAGGTTATCGAGCTATTACTGTAGGGATGTTGGAACGCGCTCCTCTACATACCTGCCATAGTTTGAACCGCCATAATCGGCTCCAACTTCCAAAAAGGCGGTCTTCTTCAGCTATCGCACAAGTGTATACGCCGAAAGCTGTGTCAAAACGTTATAAGAACAGTTGTTCCTTAAAGTTGATTCTGCTTCAACACGTTCTCAATGAGCAGAGCTCGTATGTTAGCTGAATAAAACAGCCGCTTTTTTAGCAGTTAGAGCTAATAATAGCGGTTCAAACTGTGGTAGGGATGTAGAGAAGCGTGTTCCCAAGTCTCCTAATAGTTCGATAACCTTTTTGGAGCCGAATGCTACCTTTGAATGATTATTATCAGTTCATTTCCAATTCCCCCATGCAGCAAATCCCTACCACTGTACGAGTTTATTGAAGAATGTGACAAACCAAAACCAAATAAATAGAACACTGATCTTTGTTTTTATTTTAACCCTCGTCATCCAGATGTATTATCTGTCATATTGTTTGTAAAACAAAGCTGGAGCAACCTACAGTGTTCTAGTTAAAAAGAAGACGTAGAGAAATCTGTTACAATATTCTTGCTACGACCGCATACGTGGTAGTTATAATTTTTAGAGCATTGACGGAAAATGCCAAGAGATGCTGTGCTCTACCGGACGACAAAATCTGACATGGCAAATTCTCGATTTGAAGATAAGAGAGCTGCACGCTGTTGCCGAATTTCGCCATCATCATCCAAAAGCGCGCTCTTACGGTGATGTCGGACGACATGCGCTGGATATCTATCGAATGTCGATGATCAACAAATACACAGTCATTACAGGCTGCCGTCGCTCACAGTGAAGAAGAAATCTAGCCAGAGATAAGTTGGTTTGTAACCTTCAAATACGAGCTGAAAGAATGATATATGATAGAACATCATAAAACTCCTGTCAAAAAGCGCAGTTCCATTCCGAAAGGATTTACAATGATTATGGTAACATGTTCTACAGAACGTTCCGCTTGAATTATAGCCTAGGAGTTCGACAACTTTCTAACAAAAAACCTCATTGGAAAAGTTGAAAGACCTGAGCTCAAGAATATCAATCTGTTACTGTTACATGGCCGGAGTCATACTTTTATGATAGACACGTGACCACTAAAGTAGGTCAAACCTCCTCAGAAAAAAAGGACCTGTAAAACCGGGAAAGCTCCAAGGTGGAGAACCTTTGACACATTCATTCCTTCTTTACAGAAGTCTTTTTTTCTGGTGTGAATTATCAGAATCGACGTCAAAATCGAATAAGGCAGTAAAATCCACAAATTAGCATAAAGAACTTGAAAAGGCATTTTGAACGAGGCTTATCAAATCGATTTTGTTGAACTCGTAAAATTTTCCAATGGCCAGAA